GCAGCTTTATCAGCCTTTTCTCATCTGGGAAGGCTTTCTATTAAATTTTGAACAGTGCCTGTAAGAAATCGTGCCCATTCAGCCAAAAAAAAAAAAATTTGTGAGGTCCAGTACTGATGGATGAGAAGCCCTGGCACACAATTGACATTCCAGTTCACCCCAAAGGTTTTCAATAGTGTTGAGGGTCAGGGCTTTGTTTAGGTCATTGGACCTGTTTTTGTACACAAGGAGCACAGTCATGCTGGGACAGAAAGGGCCTTCCCCCAAACTGTTGTCACATGGTTGGATTAACACAATTATCTTTGCATGATGCAGTATTAAACATAAAAGCAAGCATTTATTATATTGCAGCTTACCAATTCTTATATGTGATGGCTGTATTGGTTTTCTATTTTTAGGCTTTCCTTTCCTTTATTTTATCCGGTGATCTGGCCAGTAAGTCTGTTTTTCAACAGAACAAGCTGTTCTGCAGATGTAGCAGTTATAGGGTTGAGACAAACCATTTACTACTGTCAGGTGCTTAGAATGATGATTTTTTTTATTTATGTAAAACCTTTTTATCCCAAATAACGAAAAACAAACTGTTTGCTATAACTAATACATTGAACAAGAACTTCAGCTAAAAAATGTATAGGCGGTGTATCTAAATGTACTAATGTGTCTAACAATCTCCTGTGCTCTTTCATCCAGAGTGGAAGCACTCCAAAACAGGAGGTGTGTTACTGTTTAGATCACCAGGGAAAAAGCCTAAAAAAGAAAACTAGTGAAACCACCACTGCTAATGATTGATAACTTGCAATACATTGCGTTTTTGGTTTTAGGTTTAATACTACTTTAACAATACCCTTCAATGGTAGACACCTGTATTCAATCATTTGAAAGGTTGACCACATCCTTTTGGCTATATGGACATATAGTATATTTCCTACTGTGTTATTAGCAGATGTGTCTATATTTACTTTGTGTTTTTGTCTTGGCAGAGCAAAAACCAGCCTCACCGAAGAGGAGAGTATAATGTTTACAGCACCTTCCAGAGCCACGAGCCAGAATTCGATTACTTGAAAAGTTTAGAGATTGAAGAGAAAATAAACAAAATAAGATGGCTTCCCCAACAGAATGCTGCATATTTTCTGCTGTCCACTAATGGTAAGTTTTGGAACGGCTTCTGATTCTTGTAGTAAATGATGTCATGTGGCGCTAGAACTATGTATGCAGTTTTGTGGCATACCATAACTGTGGAAAATCATAGCCCTTTGCCATTGGATACCAAGCTGCACACTGCTATGCTAGTGTCTAGTATAATGAGAAATACTTGGCAATTGTTCATTTAGTGGAAACCAGTTACTAGATGTTTGAATTACTTCAATAGAGGGGCTTCCCTTTTGGTTGACATTGATTAGTCTTACAACAGGTACTGAGGCACCATTTTTTTTTATAGTCTGTACTGACAAGGGAGCAAACAGATTATATGTAAAATTACTTAACCAGGAACAATCCCATCTTTAGTGTCCATCATGTATAAATCCAAAAATGTAAACAATGTTTGTGGTATACAAGAAACCTTCATCCAAAACACAGAGGCACAGAGTTTAATCCTTAGATGGGTATTTAAAACTGAGCTTCAGCCAATGGCTCCAGGAGTTGTGAAAATGAACATATGTAATATAAAACTATTTTAGGCTTTCTGAAATATTTATACTTATGTTCAGCCAGTTTTGCAATTCACACAGCTCAAAGCTGCATAACTAGAATAGCATTTTTACCAATCATAGTGTGGGTTCCTATATAACCTGTCTGCTTACTAAACTCTGGAAAGCATCAGGCATCCCATTACTGAGGTCCCCCCTGTGCTTTCCTCATCCAGTAATCTTCTAAGTAGCTCCGGCTTCAGCACCTGAAAACAAGTTGGTGTAACAGTAGGGTGTAATGCAGTCACACTTGACTGGCGTATGTTACTTAACTTCTAAATCTAATTTCTGATAAGATTTAACATGTATTTAACTTTAACAGCAAAGCTAAATGCTACAGAAATTGATAGTCAACCTGGGAGAACAGCTATAGGATAAGGCTTAATGCACATATTTAAAGTTGAACTCTGGGGAAAAAAATGTTTTTCTTCCTCCATGCAATGTGGCTTTGCCCACACTGCACAGGTCAGCTGCACGTTTTGTCTAGGGGTGAGCAAAAAGCATATACTCACCCGATCCTTCGTTCCTCCGTTCCTTCCCAGCAGTTGACTGCTCCTGGGCTATGGACTCTGCACTGGGCATGATGACATCAGGTACAGTCCACTATTCAAGACTGCTGGAGCATGGGGCTGCCGGACCAGTCTTGTGCTGGGAGAGTCAGAGGATTAGGTAAGTATATCTCCGCTCTACTTGCCCCTACAAAAATACTAGCCATTAACCCATGCAGTGCGGGCACAGTCCCACTGCATGAGAACCAATAATTTGTTGTGGAGTTCAGCTTTAAAAGGGATCTTACAAATGTGAACAATAAGAAAAGATGCTGAGCAGATGTAGGAGGTTATTTACTAAAATAAGAACCAACGCCAGAAATCAGTTCCAGGATGCTAAAGACTTGGTACAATGCTGTCCTTGTAGACAGCCAACCAATGCTCAAAATTACACCATCCTGTCCCACCACTAAATACAACTTTTGTCTACATGAACACTCAAGTAAGTTGGAGTTAAGGACTATGACCACATGGTAAAGTGAACTGCATGATCCCCACCCATGTAAATATTCCCCTTAAATTTGAATTGCTGCGCCTAGTGGGCAATATATTGGACAAGATGCTACTATATACAAGCATGGACCATGATTGTTACAAGATCATAGCTGAAGCCTCCCTTAACTTGGTCACTAAAATAGTTGAATGTGAAACCGCTTGGCTGAGTGAAGAATGTTCAAAGGAACCCTATTCTACATTTGGAACTTTGACATTCAATATTTAGTGATAAAATTAATGGCTCTGTTTTGTGATTGTGACTTTCCTTTAGAAAAAATAAAGAATACATCAGGAGCAATATGAAGCCAAAATTCAAACATTTTAAGTGAATTCCACCATATTCCATCACCTACGAAGACTTTTTTTGAAGAAAAAAAAAAAAAAAAGGGTGTAATAAACTTGTAATCAGAGGCTTATGTTGATGCCCCCCCCCCGAAAAAATGTGCAAGAATTATGGCATATTGCTCCAGCCAGTCAAGGTACCAAAAGACCCAACTCCCAGAAGAAGCCAGGGAGGAGATGGCAGCGAGGTACTATTTGGCTGAAGGTGAGTATTGTGGACTTTAGGTCCGCTTTAAAAATCATGCTCACCTTTGTGAGCATGTTACACTCATATTTATGGTGTAACGCGTTCAGCATGTGCCTGCTGCGCCCCACCCACTCTTTGACAGCGGGCCAGGGATTTCTCCTGCACCTGCTGTCACAATTCAAAATGTGCTGCCGTACTGGGCTCCTGCCACATGTTCACATCATTCATTCAGAGTTCTGTGATTTAATGAACTGCACGTACCGTCAGCCTTTTGCAGCGGACGGCTTGTAGTTTTCAATGAACTCCCAGGGTGCTAATGAATGCTCTAGGTCAGGGGTCTCCAAACTATGGCCCTCCAGCTGTTGAAGTACTATAAGGTCCATCATGCCTCTAGGAGTCTTGCCTGTGGCTGTCAGTCTTGCAAAGCATCATGGGACTTTCAGTTCCTCAACACCTGGAGGGTCATAGTTTGGAGACCCCTTCTCTATGTAGTTCATTGATCTTCCAGTCATTCCATATCGGAGGAACTAGCAGTCAGCCTGCAGGAGCCTGACACTGCACCCGCAATCTGCTGCTCACAGGTGCATTGCTTTACTGGCTTAAAACTTCTACATTCCTTCTCCCAAGTTGAATCTTTGAAAGAAAAAAAAGCAGGACAGCTTAATCATGTCTTATGAATTTAGAAGGTAATTTTACATTTACAATTTTATAATCGTTAAAACGCTTCTTCCAGGGATTTATCTACACCATATCTCTATTCTGGTTCCATACCTACCATTTTAAAGGATAAGTGCACCCTGATTAACATGTTACACCCCTTTCCAGGTAACAAGTTACTGTTGCAGCAACCCCCACGCTTTATCACCCTATAGCAGGAAGCCTTTAAACAAGGACCTTTATGGCAGGATCACAAGGTATTCTGTTAATGAAAGCTGCAGATTTAACATGATTGAAAATTGCTTTTGAAACTTCATTACCATATGAAAGCACTTATAAGATTTTAGTGATTGGCTTTAAAAGTCAGCTTCTCGGTTGGGGAAATATAAATGTAGTACATTCTCAAAGCAAAAAAAGTAAACGTTGATCTCCAGATATACTCCTGCACATTTTTATCAGACCTGTTTTAATAGGGGCACAGTTTTGCCTTTTATCCTGGAGTCCTACACTAGCAGACGGAGTTCTTCCTCAGTGAAGGGATTAAACCTATCTCCAAACCATATGCTCCTGTGTAATTACTTTTGCAGTAAAAGGTTAGAATTTCTGAGAAGTGAGTTAGCAGCTAGTCAATTGATCATTTTAATACAATTCACAGCCCCCTTAAATATGTTCGGGGGGGGGGGGCACATTGTGGGAGAATACAGATTAATTACATGGTGTAATGTTCTGTTAATTGAGTTTTAAAATAGTTTTTTGATTAACAGAGATATTATCTCAACGATCTGAGTGACATTTTCAGCATCGGCAGGAAGTTAAAATTATTCTTTTTAAATGTACCGTGTTATTGCATTTGTATGAGCTCCCTTAAGGGGCTTTGTTCAGACAAGCAGGGCAGGAGACAAATCAACGATTGACTATGATGTTGTGTAGAAACAGAATTTTGTATGTAATTTTTTTTTTTTTTTAATGATCTGGAGGAATAGCAAGGCGTTGTTTAAGAAATTCAGACTTGAGATATAACACCTCATTTTTAGAATCATGTAGGGAATATAAAGTAAAACATTTAAAGAACTAGTTCACCTTTAACCTCCCTGGCGGTATTCCCGAGTGTAGCTCGGGGTAAAGTTTCAGTACCACAAGCGATAACCCCGAGCTACACTCGGGAATACTATGCGGCGCTGCTCCGGGATCCCTTGATCACTTACCTTGTCCTGCTCTCCCGCGATGTCCTTCCTGCGTCTGTCATCTGGGTTCCATCCCCTGTGAGCGGCAGGACGTATGGGGGACGGAACGGCGGGAAATTAAAAAATGACAAAAAGTGACATTCACTAAAATCACATAGTATAACATTACTGTATCAAACCATTTCACATACATTTTGTCCCTACTGCTTTGTCCTGTGCCCTGCCTGCATTTTTACTGTTCTTTCTGCCTGGAAACTGAGAAACGTCCATGGCATCCAAAAAGCGTCCCTTTAGGTCAAAAGCAGTTTTAGATCAGCTAGAGAACAGTAATAGTAAATCAGAACTATTTGCAGAATTGAGTGATAATGATTCGTGGGAAATTCGTTATCAGACACTGAAAACGATTTTGCGACTTTGCTCAGTGATGTGCGAACTTGGCGCTATATTTCAAATTTCAGTATTTTTGGTTTGATTATATTATTGAATTTTATTATATTATTTTTTTATGATTATTTATTAAATTATAATTTATGATTTTGTGTTTCAAGTTTTATCATACCCGGGATGTTTACGAGACTCTTGTTTGGACAGATATCAGTGAGTTATTCCTAAAAATTACAGGCCTACAATAACAAAAATACATATTTCCATGCAAAAAAAAGGAACCACTTTGAGCACAGAAATATGGACATAATCAGACTGCTAGGGAGGTTAAGAAAATCTGCAGATAAGGGGCGTCTGTAGAGAAAAACAAACTGTGCAAAAGTTGAATAAAGCCCTTGCTATAGGTGTTGGCGATTGTATATACCTCACGAAGCCTGACTGGAATACTTCCAAGACGTTGGTAAGTGAGCCCTAATCATTACTTTTCACCTCCGCCATCACAGGAGGGACATTTTTTTCTCTGGTTCAAACCTCCTCACATGCTCTCTCCCCTACAGTAGCTCTGAGCTCAGCATTTCAGAACTCACTCCTGTGATGGTGGAGGTGAGCAGTAACATGTAGGCCTCACCTAGCAACATCATGGGAGTATGCTAGTCCGCTTCAGGAGGTACGTAAATGGCCTACACGTATAGCAAGAGCATTATTCAACTTTAGTCAGAGCTACAGAGTTTGTTCTGATCTACTGACACCCCTTTTCTGCATGGGCAGTTTTTTGGTAAAGGTGAACTAACCCTTTAAAAAAAAATGTAAAACCTCCAGGTAGAGTCATACGCATTATAGATCTGTAGTAAAATGAAAACTATACTTTAATACCTTCACTATGAATGGCCAATATTTTTCCTCTACACAGCTTGGCACTTTGGTTATGAGGTTTGCTAAACTTAACATTGGGTATGAGAGGATTTTTTTGTATACTTTGAGTTGAATTAAACTCACCAAAATGGTTCTTGTGGGGCATCTGTAATCACATATCTAGATTATGTATCATTCATATCACTGTTGGTCCAGGTTCACGCTAATGCGATGCGGGAAACGTAGCAATTTCTGTGCATTTACCACACTGCATAGCAATCTGAGTTTATTTGATTTGCTGTGGGTGTCGATTAAAAGTTAACACCACCCCAAAAGCAGGTCGCAAAATACAGTGCGATGCCTGAATTGGATCGCATGGATATAAACACCCATGCAATCTGATTCAAGTGCAGCTAAAAAAAAAAGGTACTTACATAGAAAATGAATGCGCTGAAATCGCACTGCACAGAATCGCATGTGATTTGTACAGGAATGTTGTGTGATTCCTGTGTGAATCACATGCGGCTTACAGTGTGAACCAGGGCTTAAAGTGGAACTGACCCCCCCCCCCCCAATCATTTACAACTCGGAAAGCTGCCATCTTAGCCTCTGATTGATCTGAAATTGCTAGATCTATATGCACATGTGATCAGTTAACACAACCGTTTCATGGCTTGACAGTTCAGTTGAGAACAGAGCAACTGTGACAGTTATCTATCTTGGCATGCCTTGAATATTAAATCAACGGGTTTAGTTCTGCTTTGTGTTGTGCCAAGGAACATTAACATGTGGAGCAGTAACATTTTTTGCATTTATTCTTCCAAGGCTAACTGAAGTAACAGTGGACATTTAAATTTTGTTAAGGTCTCTAAAAAACAGTAAACAGGTGTGGCTTAAAAGCCAACTTTAGTGGCAGAGTTGTTATGCAGTTAGACATTGTACTAACCATGTTCATTTTAATAGTCTTCTCTCCACTTTTCTGTTCTACAAAGATATAAATATGAACCCACGAGCAGTTATAACCTACCTCAAAATTAAAAAATCAATTAGATAATGAAAAGCTGCCCACACCTACACACACTCCTACAAATATGCTAAATAACAAAATTATACAATAACAGTGCCATGCTTTTCTCAAATTCAAATAGTAACATAAAAATAATCCCAATTTGAACTGGATAGTGAAACAATATAACAAACAATATGCACAGTTACTTTTAACCAATACAGTCCATCTCTAATGCATAGTCCATTCAACTCAAAAAAACGTATGCAATCAAAAATCTTTTTCATATATAGTGCACTTCCACCATCAATAACACCAGTTGTGCTCTCACCTGGAATTTTTTTTTTTTTTGTATTTCAATGATTTTTATTAGTTTATAAACATTTGAAAAAAACAGGAGCAACCACACACGCCCACACAGAGGCCATCTATTGCACATAAAAACATAAAGAAAACAGTGCTCTAACACCCACAGAGCAAAAGGTGTGCCCACGAAGGGGCTATCAATGGCATATAAATGACGAAAACATTGGTATAAACATTGACAGTAACTCAAAGCAAAGGTAGCTATCCACCGCTCACCTGAAATTTTTGACTTCACAACTAAGTTTGTACACCTAAAGGATGCAAGCTATTTTTGACCATATAGTGATGGTATGACTTCTACCAAGATTCTCCTTCACTGTTGATGCAGCTCCTTTTTCTAACTCCTTCTTCTCCTCCTCTCAGCATACATGTAGGAAATACATAGGAAGACCAATAATGCTTTATCGTTTAGAAACACTTGTTTTATTAAAATATAAATGAGCCTCTCACATGATTCAGGTGCTCCATTGCACCCAATATTGCACGCATAAAAAATATATGTCGTAGCTGACACCCTCTGGCTATACAAGTTCTGCCCGTATTCCCCTCCATGATCTCTCTCCTACCTTGTCACTGTGTCCCGCTGGTGCCAAGGGTGCCTGTATCTGGTCCATTGCCAATTGGAGGTTTCGTGGTTGTCACCATGAAACCTCCTATTGGCAACAGACCAGATACAGGCACCCTTGGCACCAGCAGGACACAGCGACAAGATATAGGCAAATATACTTTGTAAAATACATAGTTGTAATGGTACCTGTTATAATAAAGGTGTACATGTCCCCAAAGTGCTATTTTATGATAAATAACATGACATTGATGTTTATAATTTGTGTTAAGGCTGGTTCACACAGGCTGAGTATCGGCTGATCCAACAGGAATTGGCTGACATTTGGTCAGTGTGTACAGCAGCCTGTCCGACAGAAGCCGGTCTAAGCCAGCATCCGATTCATGCTGGCAGCCAGTGGCTGCCAGTGTTGATCAGTGAGTCCTCGCTGGGATGCAGTCTCCCTGTCAGCACACAATAGCTCAGCTGGGAAGATCCGCTGCATGAACATAGCTTTGTTAGTACAGTGACTTCACAGGTTTTTTCTTGTTCAGCTTGTTGGATTGAACGGAAAAAAAACTTCTCGTGTGTACCTAGTATTAGTCTGAAAAAATAGGGGGCTAAATGTACTTTCGCTATGGAACATCCTATGAGGTTGGATAGAAATCAATTTTTGTGACTTTAGGAAAAAAATGTTAATACATTTTGAAATTGAATGGGATTTTTGAGGTTTGTTGATTTTTTTTAAAAAAAAAGTTTTATTCAATATTTCTACATAAGAGACATTAATTGCTCATTTGTTACCAAAAGTTACATAAAATAATGCAATGTTGATAAAGTTTAGTTTATTTTCTCTTAAAGCTTGTGTCTAGGGACAGTTCTATTGGATTTTCCCTATGGAAAAAATTATTATTGTTGTTATACGTGGATGAGGCATGCTAACACTTGGTATTTTGTTACATAATACAGGAAGCAGTAGTTGGCAAAGACTAACTGCAACCCATCAGAAGTCCGTAGCTCATCCAGCCATATTGACGATGGCAGGTTTGGGGTTAGTTGCTCTTGGTTGTTGCACACCATTGCAGTTATCAAATGAGCTCAAGTAGTTCGAGTTTAAAATACTTAACATTTCTGTATATCATTTATTTTTTTTTTTTAACTTCCAGACAAAACTGTAAAACTATGGAAAGTCAGCGAGCGTGACAAGAGACCAGAGGGCTATAACTTGAAAGATGAAGAAGGAAGGCTGCGTGACCCATGCACAATAACTACGCTTAGAGTAAGAACGCTGCTCTCACATTAATACGTTATTTCAGAATGTGTTTGTTAATAATGCATTTCCATCTGGTTTTAAAATGAGTGATAAAGGCTCCAGGCTTATATATACTTGAATCAAAAGGAATTATTTGCCAGGAACAATTTGGTCCCAGTTGGGACTGTTCATTGAATGTTTGAAATGCTTTGCCATTCTTTTCATTTTACAACATTCTTTTGAGCTATAGGGCACTATGAGGTTAAAAAGTTTGCTTTTATTCTGCAGTTAGAACCTATGCTGAAAATATAATAAATCCGCTGACTCAAATATAGTAGAGAATGACTTATTTCCTTCCCTTTGACACCAGGAGCAATTCCATTTGTTGTAGTTGTGGCTGAAATGTAGCAGCTCTCCCTGGGTACCATGGATCTGCCAGCACCAGAGGGGTGCCTGTTTCCTGATAAAGTCACACAGCATGGCACTGATCAATAGTGTACAGTTTCCCCAGTGTGAAACTGCTTTAGGTGTAAATTACAACTTGATTTACATCAAAGAGAAATGACTACCATTTCCAGACATCTAGTTCAAACTTTCAGTAGCTTAGCAGAACTGCAGAAATTTCTGACCTTGAGAAGAATGACTTTTCTGCAAACAGATGATGGACTATGGTCAGTGGATCTGGAGAGTTAATATCATGAAAGTCACAGTGGGCATAGAATGATAACACAAATATTGCTTTCAAAACACTTTGAGGTCTATTTTTTCTTAAAAAAAAAAAAAAGAATT